CAAATAGATTTCACAACCACATCTCCTTTTACTAAAAATTTAATGCATTTTGTTTAATAACATTTTGAACAATGATATATTTTTGCCGAGATCACTAATATTATTCCATATCACATAAGACTGCAGCTTCACCACTATGAAGAATAACAAAGCCCAACCGATTTGCCTAAAGTATGATGTCAGCAAAGGGTGTTACCAATGATAATGGGCCTGATTCCTCCATCCTTCTTTACTCGGGAGCACATGGATACACAAAAGAGTTTATTTAATATAGGCAATCTGGTCAGCCAGGCAGGTGCTGAGAAACTTTAGGATCTCGCACAATGGAGTCACAGCAACTGAGCTAAGAAAAAGTGGCTCTTAAGTTGGGGACGTCAGTGTCTAGGGAGGGCAAAAACTGATAGAACTCGAAACAATGGATATAAATTGGATATGTTTCGATTTAGGAAAGACCTGGATAGATACTGGTTTGGAATCAGGGTTCTTTAATTGTGGAACAAATTACCAGGTAACATAGACGTGAAACCGCAGGCGTGATTCAAACTTAGGTTAAACATATATATGAATGAGTTTGGGTTGATATAAAGAGGAGCTGCCTCATGGGACAATAAGCTTTTGCTGGAATGTTTCAAACATAGGTTATACTGAGTTTGGGTGGATAAATAGAAGCTACCTCGTATGGGCTAATAGGCCTTCGTTAGCGTGATTCAAATGTAGGTTAGATATATATGCATGAGTTTGGGTGGAGATAAAAAAGGAATTGCCTTGCCTCATATGAGACAATAGTCCTTAAAGAGTGCTTAAGTGTAGGTTGGACATACATATGAATGAGTTCGAGTAGATATAAATAGGAGCTGCCTCATATTGGACATTAGAATCTCAGCAGTTTCATTAATTCTTGTTCCTTACTGATAATTATCCTCATTGATTGAACTGTGTTCCCCCTCTTTAAATAATTTTTTGACCGGCGTTATTTTTATACAATCACTAAGCTTATGTTGTTCCTGCTTCGGACTGAGAGTTGCATGTACCAACAGTGTGGTTGGTCTCGTTGTCAAGCAGGAGGCCTGGAGACCAAGCGGCTGGGACACTAGAGCCCAGAAACCATAACAAGGAAGCCGCAAAGAGGTTCATGGTTCCCACACCCTTCAGTTCTACCATATTCTACTTGCTTTGGATCACGTACCTGTGTAATTATCTAAGTATAGTTACATGATGAGAGCTACGCTTGTGGTCTCCCGTCTTCCCAGTACTCTTTGTCGTATAACGCTTTGAAACTACTGACGGTTTTGACCTCCACCACCACCTCACTTAGCTTGTTCCAACCGTCTCCAACTGTGTGTGTGTGCGTGTGTGTGTGTGTGTGTGTGTGTGTGTGTGTGTGTGTGTGTGTGTGTGTGTGTGTGTGTGTGTAATTACCTAAGTGTAATTACCTAAGTGTAGTTACAGGATGAGAGCTACGCTCGTGGTGTCCCGTCTTCCCAGCACTCTTTGTCACATAACGCTTTGAAACTACTGACGGTCTTGGCCTCCACCACCTTCTCACTTAACTTGTTCCAACCGTCTACCACTCTATTTGCGAAGGTGAATTTGTGTGTGTGTGTGTGCGTGTGCGTGTGTGTGTGTGTGTGTGTGTGTGTGTGTGTGTGTGTGTGTGTGTGTGTGTGTGTGTGTGTGTGTGTGTGTGTGTGTGTGTGTGCGCGCGCGTGCGTGCGCGCCATATATCTCGGTACATTTACTTTCACAATTAATACTATGTCCTAAAATTTCCCAATCCATAATAACAACATCCTGCATCTTTAACATTAGTATTTACCACCATATATCAGTTAACTTGTTGCTAACTAAAGCAATAACGACAAGGGAAGACATTTCCACATGTATAACATTTGCGTTGCTTGAAGACGGTGACCTCACCCAGGGGTCATGGCTCGACCCAAGGCCCCACCCACGTTGACCTGACCCATCACTTGACCCGACACGACCCGCTTAACTCATTAACTCGCCCACTGTTCACTATCTTTAGACCGCCTTCAGAATTTAGCGGGCGGGGGGGTCGTTGGCAGGCAAAAGTGCATGAGCGATGGAAAGCGGAATTATTCGCCCTTTAAATTGGATTAATCTGGGTAGTGGTGTATCGGTTGTCAGCCCGGCGGGGGACACTACGACACGCCATACACACGCGGCTCCCAGCAGCCTCGCCAGCCGGCTCCTCTACATCTGTATCTCACACTAGGCGGCTCCTCTACATCTGTATCTCACACTAGGCGGCTCCTCTACATCTGCATCTCACACTAGGCGGCTCCTCTACATCTGTATCTCACACTAGGCGGCTCCTCTACATCTGCATCTCACACTAGGCGGCTCCACTACATCTGTATCTCACACTAGGCGGCTCCTGTACATCTGTATCTCACACTAGGCGGCTCCTGTACATCTGTATCTCACACTAGATGGCTCCTCTACATCTGTACCTCACTAGGCGGCTCCTCTACATCTGTATCTCACACTAGATGGCTCCTCTACATCTGTACCTCACACTAGGCGGCTCCTCTACATCTGTATCTCACACTAGGCGGCTCCTCTACATCTGTATCTCACACTAGGCGGCTCCACTACATCTGTATCTCACACTAGGCGGCTCCTCTACATCTGTATCTCACACTAGGCGGCTCCTGTACATCTGTATCTCACACTAGACGGTTCCTCTACATCTGTACCTCACACTAAGAGGCTCCTGTACATCTGTATCTCACACTTGACGGTTCCTCTACATCTGTACCTCACACTAGGCGACTCCTCTACATCTGTACCTCACACTAGGCGGCTCCTCTACATCTGTATCTCACACTAGGCGGCTCCTCTACATCTGTATCTCACACTAGACGGTTCCTCTACATCTGTATCTCACACTGAGGCTCCTCTGCATCTGTACCTCACACTAGGCGGCTCCTTTACATCTGTATCTCACACTAGGCGGCTCCTCTAAATCTGTACCTCACACTAAGAGGCTCCTCTAAATCTGTACCTCACACTAGACGGTTCCCTCTACATCTGTACCTCACACTAGGAGGCGCCTCTACATACACTACACTATCCGCCTGGTGGATCCTCTATATTTAATGTAACATATATACCACCCAGACGGCTCCTCGCCATCTCCCTACAACAGCGACAGGCATCTGAATCATCACCTACAACAGCGACAGGCATCTGAACCATCACCTACAACAACGACAGGCATCTGAACCATCACCTACAACAGCGACAGGCATCTGAACCATCACCTACAACAGCGACAGGCATCTGAACCATCACCTACAACAGCGACAGGCATCTGAACCATCACCTACAACAGCGACAGGCATCTGAACCATCACCTACAACAGCGACAGGCATCTGAACCATCACCTACAACAGCGACAGGCATCTGAACCATCACCTACAACAGCGACAGGCATCTGAACCATCACCTACAACACACAGCATGTGTATGGGGTGCATAATAAACTAGCCGCCTCCAGCGACAACAATAAAACAAATCATCTACAACACCGCCAGAAAACCACTAGCTGGAAAGTGAACACTAGTATGCTTTTCTCTTGCCTCCTCTGCTCACAACATCTATAGTCTAGATTCTTGAGCATCATATGCCCTCTAGAGTCTAGAGTGTACACCTCAAGGTAAGGTAGAGTGCATTGGTCGCGTTGCAGCGCCCGCACTGATCTATCATTAATTAACAAAGAACTGCACAAATTGGACACTCGCTCCTCAGCAGAGGTGAAGGGCACACACACACACGCAGGCAAAGTAGCCTCGTCGTCACCTGGATAGCCCCTCCCATCTCTGGCCTCAAGATACCAATACCTCAAAATATTAATACCAACTCTGCGCCCCATAACATTACACACCGCTGAAACTACCATTAAGCATTCATATATTAGTAATACATGAATAATGCGAAGGTTTAAACAGGAAGAGCTGCCGGGGTCACCACAAATTCGTAGTCACCACGTCACTACGAAGTTTACATTCTAAATAGTATTTCAAGTCAATGAGTACTTCTTTGATAACTTTACTATTACCGCGTAATAAACAAGTACAGTACCGCAAAATAACGCGTAGTACATGCCAAAAAGAGAGAAGGTCGATTTATTTGCATAAAAAAAGTCACGGAGCCCGATCAGTTCAATGTTTCGTCCCAATCTCGGTGAGGTTGCAACGAGCCAAGACCTAATCTATGTAATCTGTTAAGCCTGGCCACGACTCTTGTCACCAATGAAACTGTCTGACGTCCCCTCCCTCCCCCCTTCCCCCCACCCTTTAACACACACACAAACACACAAGAGTCGGCCGCTTAAAAGAGGAAAACTAATCCGGTTATCGGGGGAGGGGGGTACTTATCCGGCATCATCCATCTGGTAGACTGGGTGTTGCTGTTGATAGCGTTGTTTTGGTTGTCTTGATATGGGTGGAGGAGGAGGTGTGTGTAAGGCGCATATACATCACTTGTTCCTTCACACACACACTCACTAGTCATCCCTTGTTTTTGCCTTTGATCACTTCTAGTTTCTTACTGATTGCACTAACGCACACATTGGTTTCCCATCAATGAATTTTAATGCAGTTTCTTCACATTCAACACATTTTATTTGTATTCAGAAGTAAGATACTGATATCCAATAGCACTTTATTTAACATTTATCAAAATATAATAACTTTTCAAGAAGCCGATGAGGCGTGGAAAATGCCTCTCTCAATATCACACGAGTTATATAACCAGCCACTCTAAACCAGTATTTACAAGCTCATAAAACATATTTCTGTCGCTGCTGTTGTGTTGGGTCACACTGGACGACCCCTGGACTGGCCCAGGCCGCCCATGACCCTCAGGAGCGCTACCCGCCCCCCACACAGAACCCATGCGTGAGACCTGCTGGGGCGCGGAGGGTGACCAGAGGCGTGAAGGGGGGAAGAAGAGGAGGAGGGCGAGGCCGCACCTGCTTGGAGAAGACTGCGATGTCCTCGTTGAAGGACTCTGAGGAACATACGTCTCCGCCCGCCACTCCTGGTTCTCGAGGGGTGCAGGTGGCCAACTCACACTTCTCGAAGATCAGCGCCAACAAGGGAAACAACGGGTGCCTGCCGGGAGAAGACAGTGTTAATACATACTAGTGGAAGATTACAAGTCAGCTGCATTTACATTTCATGAGTAAATACCACACTACGACGATAACAACATATTGGATAAATATCCCACACGGGAGGATAACACTACATGGGAAGATGATTAACTATATTATTCTCCAACACACTGAAAGGGAGGATAACTCACTACATGGAAGGAGATCTCAGTACGCTGGAAAATATAACACTACACAGAATAATATAACTTAATGTGGACATTTATATGGATACAACACGGATTAAAATTTCTGCCGCTTTAGAACAGTGCCATCTCGCTGTTTCAATATATATATTTAAACTTAAAAGAGCATAAGTTTGGTAAGAGAAAAAATTCCACGCCTTATTCAGACGTTCTTAATGCACATATATTTTAGAAGACTGCACCTCATTCAAATTACTTTTTTGACTAGGAAAACAATTATCAGGCAAATGTAATTTAAGTTTAATTAATTAAGTAACACGATGATAAAGGAATGCTTTTGTTTTATGTCTTGAAATTTAACACAGTTCAGTAAATATATAAAATAAGCTACATAATTTAAGGAAAAAATTCTGTGTATCTCAGGACATTCAGAATATTATTAGAATATCAGCATAAATCTTACGCATTGACACCGTAATTGATAAAAATTCTTTAAATCCCAAAATAATCTTGACGCGAAAAGCCAGTCATTCGCTCCCAACCACTATTAAAAAGCAGAGATTTACCCCTGCTGGTGCTCACACACACACCCCTCCCCCCCCCACACCCCCGTATCACTCCAGCAGGGTAATCCAAGCTGTTAATCGCCAGTCAAGGGCTTCGCTGGCCGCACGCCCTCCTATGGCCTCCTCAATATCAATCCTGGTTGCTTTTCCCCCCACCTCTTGTGCCTTGCTTTACCCCCCCCTCGGCACATCATTTTCCCCCCAGATGAAACCCGTCATATTACACCATAAAAATCCGTTCATTTACCTCACGTTAAGGGGATGGGGGGGGGGAGGGTTTGTAGGAGATAAAAGGCGTTACTGCCCGCTCAATAATTTAGTTCGCTCTAAGCCCACTATCATATAAAAATGAAAACATCTTATCGCTTGGGATGGAGTTTTTAATTCCGGTGGAACGACTGAGTTTTTCGGCATAACGGACAAACAAAACTATATACATCTCCTGCCACACCACTCAAGTCTTACTGCCTCATTCATCATGGGGTCAACAGCAGGTCCCGAAGAGTGAGAAGGAGGGGGGAGGGGGAGCAGAGAGAGCGCAGGAGAGGCCGACGATGAAGCCATTAAGACGTCTGGTAGTGACTGGCTCTTGTGTTCCAGTGACACCCTCAGCTGGGAGCAAGGTGGTGTCAGCAGCACCCGCCAGGGACACCTCACGCGTGATGAGGGACAGGAAGCGCACCTATGATACATGCATCCAGCACGGTGAAGTCCAGCACGGTGAAGGGCATTCACGATGACCGATACACTGTGAGGTGCATCCACGGTGAGCAGGTATGAACGGTGACCGGTATCCGGTAAGACGTGGACAGGGAGTGGCACACGAGTCATCAACACTACAAGAGCCATCGACGGAGTAGTACAGGAATCATCAACAGTACACGAATTATTAAGAGAAGGCAGCACACGAGGCATCTAGGATGAGCGGTACACGAAGAGAGGGGTAGTACACGGACAAAGACATATATAGTGAACGGTAAACATAAAAATATTACGGGCTCACTATAGCCGTGCTACATGGAAATTTTGTTCCGAGTAGCTGAATCTAAAACAACATCTAGAAGTCACAGTCAGCGATACACGAGGAGAGAAGCAGCTACAGTCAGCGGTACACGAGGAGAGAAGCAGCCACAGTCAGCGGTACACGAGGAGAGAAGCAGCTACAGTCAGCGGTACACGAGGAGAGAAGCAGCCACAGTCAGCGGTACACGAGGAGAGTAGTAGCCACAGTCAGCGGTACACGAGGAGAGAAGCAGCCACAGTCAGCGGTACACGATGAGAGAAGCAGCCACAGTCAGCGGTACACGATGAGAGAAGCAGCCACAGTCAGCGGTACACGAGGAGAGAAGCAGCCACAGTCAGCGGTACACGAGGAGAGAAGCAGCCACAGTCAGCGGTACACGAGGAGAGAAGCAGCCACAGTCAGCGGTACACGATGAGAGAAGCAGCCACAGTCAGCGGTACACGAGGAGAGAAGCAGCCACAGTCAGCGGTACACGAGGAAAGTAGTAGCCACAGTCAGCGGTACACGAGGAGAGTAGCAGTCACAGTCAGCGGTACACGAGGAAAGTAGTAGCCACAGTCAGCGGTACACGAAAAGCATGGATGAATATCAGGAAAAGGTGAAAGAAAAAAATATTTGGGCTAAGGGCAAGAGGTGACGAAAAAACAAACAAATAAGTAATAAAGATGGGCAATGAAGCAAATAAATAATAAAGACGAACACTGAATCAATTATGAAAATAAACATTAATAAAAGTGTATATTATTCACATGAAAAAGGGCTGAAACAATTTGTAAAGAAAAAGGCGGTACAAAACACCACCCATCAAAAAGAAAACGACAGAGGTTAGACTACACACAACATAACCTAGGCTGCACAGCGTCAACATCAACAAATAATCTAGACTAGCCCAGGTAAAAAAAAAACGAGCGAAACCCGCCATATATAAATATCCAAGTGCAGAAAGCAAATTTTACCTTTTCCTCTCCAACGATCGGTTTTATTCCCTAACAACCACTTCCCAGGGATAACGATCCAGCCACCACACGACGAGCGACAAGACGAGCGCGCACACTTCGAAAATCCCCCACGCCTTATCTGATTCCCAAGGTGATAAATCTTATGTCGCGCTTAATTAAATACAAAACTGCCAGGAGGTTAAAAAAAAAAGGGTTTCAGCCGACAGTCACAAGCTGTCAAACTAACATGTACAAAAACACGTCGGTGACAGACACGAGACAGGAGGAGGGGACATGTCTCATGGTTTTGGAAATGCTTGATGGGAGAGGGGGGGGGGGCGGGAAGAATGGGCCAGATCATTCTCCAATACCCTCCCCCCCCCATCCCAATAGCAGGTGAGAGGAAGAGGAAAGATAATGAAAATAATGCTTGAGGGGGTAGCTTATCCCCCAATACACCTTCATCCCGTCAGTAACAGGTGAGAGGGAGAAGCTGGAGGTTAGAGGATAGATAAGGCGTGAGAACAGTAATAAAAACAAAGCATAAATCACTCTGAATAGAGAGGGGGGGGGGAGGATACCAAGCACGTTACCTCGCGGTGACGTCGGCTGTTTGTGTCCTAGTCAGCTGTTGCGATTGTCGATGTATGGCCTCTGGTTTACTACCAGTTCTTCATTAAATACAAATGATAAACTTCGTCAACTTTCCGGACGACAAGATCAGTTTGGAAGAATAGTAAATACCACCTTCTTTAATCTGTATTAATTTATATAAATCTAAAAACTGTACTCTCCATTACACAGTTTTCTCTGCCCTACAACACTTTACTGTACTCTCTTCCATAATTCTGCACCTCAGTTAATCTTCCTCTACTCTACAGCATTTCGCTGTACTCTCTGCCACATTGCAGCACTTCACTATACCCGCCTCCATCTTCCAACATTTTATTGTACAATCCTCCATCATCCAGCACTGTAAGTACTCTCCTCCATCTTCCAGCACCTCACTGTCAATTCTCCGTCATCGCACTCCTCCAGCAGGTGAACTCACTCCCACGATGAGAAAGTCTTTGGAGCAGGACGGGGATCGAATCCCTCCCATCATCAACCTAGACCATTCTCGACGTTGAGCGACTCACTTTGGCGTCCTGTCTGAGCAGAGAGTCGACAAGGAACAATCAAGACTCCGTCAACACCTGAGTTATCGCTCCAGACGATGGTCCTTCACACGTTAACCCATCGCTAAGGTTACCTCAACGGCCGTCAACAGCAAGTGAGTGAGTGACCTATTGTGCGCTCCCTTGCACTCTCTGCTCGGCCTCCGTGCCCTTTGCAGGGGTTGTTTGGGTAATAAACCAGCAGATAACAGGAACAGTTAACTTGAAGAGCGACAAAGGAGTGAATATTATTAGAAAACAGGTGTAGGGAGTTAGTTAAGTGAAGCGTTCGTTGGGAGATAGAGTACACACATTATACAAATAAGTAGTAGCACTTTAGACGAGGAGAAAATGGAGTTTTCTCAGGAAGTTGTATAACAGATGAAAGAAGTGGTATTCTTGATGAAAGCAGTGGTAGATGTGATAAGAGTGGGAGTAAGACACAGCTCTTATGATAAAGGAGTCTGGCGTAGGGTTAAATTCAGACACAGGAAAAATGCATGGGGAGGAAATAGGCACCAGGACACCAAGTAACAGCCCAACAAAAACACGACGAATGGCCCGACCCGTCTGTGCTCCTCTTTAAGTGTTCATGTTTTTAACTCCTCAGCATTGTTTTTGTATTGTTTCTGCTCCCTTTACGAAGGGTCATAAAAGAGACTTGAATCTCTCGTAACCCTCTTCTTGCAACCCTACTCTCCTCCTTACCCTCTAGACGTCAACTTTACAACATCTCTAACAACCTGAAAGACGGCTACACTTTGCAACCCTGTTAAACACCAGCTACAACCTTTCCACTTCACTTTCTAAGCCTACTGAACACTACACCTTAAACCCCACTCCACACACACACACAAGAGTTTTAAGACAGCACTACACCAATTTCAGCAGAGCCATTTACCAAAAAGTTATCAATGCATTCTTATAAATCTTTCAAATTAATTAAACGAAATCTCCATAAAAGGACTCCAAGATATGCCTAAAATACACTCCTGCACACGCACGCACTCACTCACTCACTCTACACTAGAGGCCCTCGAGCTATGGAGTCCACCCTGTTCTCCGCACTCACTCTTTTCCCAAATTACCTCTAGTCCATATTCGGGAAACCCTGACCACTGGTGACTT